GTCTAACTTTTGGGGTATATAGTGTATGTGCTTGAACTGGTAATAGGTATGCGTGTACCTACGCTGGTTTGGATGTGTGTGTGTCTGAGCTTGTAGTGTGTGTATGTATGCACTTAATTGATTTGTGTGTTTGTATATGTGCAATTGTGTCACACCCTTCTGTCTAACAGCGCAATATTGAGATCCTGAGAGTTGGCCTGGCCCCACAGGGCAACACAAACCTTTTTCCCCACCTCCTCCTCCTCTGCCTTCCTTTCTCCCCTGGCACTCCAAGTAAGGTGGGCTACTGAAATACACTGAATTTATCTTTAAGAGAGAAGGAAAGCAGAAAAGTGAAAATGCCCCTAGCCATAGGTTGTCCTCCTCCTCTTCCTCCCCCACCCATTGCAAAGCTTGCTGGGTTGTGTGCTTGATCCCATCTCCTGATGTTAGAGTCAGCATACTTCAATGTCTAAAACACTCTGCCTGGGATCCTAGGGCACCGTACATGTGGTCATGCCTGACCCATGACAACTGGAAATGTTTCCAAATTGGTGGCTTTTTGCAATAGTTTATGTGTTAGGGGTGTCCACATCCTTAGATGTGGTGGGCCTGATGAGTCCATCTTAGTACCATCAGGCCAAGATTTTCCAGAATAGAAATTGGGACTAGTTTAGTCATGTTGGGTCAAACATGGTTCTATGTTGCTGCTGGCTGCAGAGCTCAGGAAGTGTGTGCAGCTTGGAGGGGAGTGAGATAGTCAGATGTAAGTAGACAATGGGTAGGGCAGAAAGAAACTGCTGGGATTGGCACCAAGCTGAATCCAAGTATACCGTCTTTCATTTGGTTCTGATGAATGTAAATACCGGAGGTACAGCTGTCACTACTGACAGGTACAAGTTCCTTTGGGTTGAAATCCACCCCGCCTCCCCCAAACACATTCTCTCAAAGAGCTTCAAATGTCCCAGTGTTAACAACTTGGCAAAGAATTGCTTCAGGCACTTTGTTCAGAGATCTTATGATGATTTAGCAAGGCATCTTAAATACATGCTTGAACTTGATTTGCAGTTTGGGGTGCCTGCATTACATGTTAATCACATCCATTTGTGCACAGTCAGGCTAGTCCATTGGGAATACAATTGCACACTATTTAATGAAACTCCTCCATGAATATCCAGGATCAGTGCTCTTGTAATGTGTTCACAAAATGGAATTTATTATCAGCTTCAACTCACATTAATCATTCATATGCTGAAGAGAGATAGCAGCCAATGTGAAATATGGACTCATGCAATAAACAATATCTTTGAAAACAGAGCTTCTTCAGGTGTTTTTCACATAAAAATGGAGTTAAGGTGAAATGGATTAAAATAAGTTTACTTAATCTTTACCTACAAATGCTACATTTCATTTCAAAGACAGGCATGTAATTCTGTAATAATTCCTTTTGGGTGCTGCATCTTGCAGATGGATTTTGTAAAGCTCTGCTACATTTGTGAAGAAGGATAACTTGAAATGTCTGGAGGATTACTAAACTGCTCCCTTCTTTAATAAGGGATTCCTGGGAGATGTTCTGAAATCCTAATGACTTATGAGTGTACAATCAGGTTTGAAGATTCCTCAAGAATTCTTCGCTCAGAGAAAAGTTGTCTTTCTATTCTCATATCAGAAATCCATATGGCTATTTTTTTCCTAGACTAACAGGAGTAAAGCCCTTAAATAAAAATTTCTATCATTCAATCTTTCTTACACAGACTACTTTCTGCTTCAATGTGCAACAAAGTAGCAAAATATCAAGCAGGAGCAGTGTTATTTCTGCCTACCCTGTTACAGAATCTGTTGGAGAATACTGAGTCCAGGCACCATGTCCACATTCTAAGGATACTGAAAGGATGGAGAACCTTTGGAACAGAGTTACATGTATCTGAGATTTTAAAGCATGACCTGAGATGAGAAATGCAATAAACTCAAATGACTTCGTTTTATTTAAGAGCAGGTCAAAAATAGAATCTAGGAATACCTACATGGGAGAGGGGATGGAGTATGGTTGCAGCTATGATGGAATAATCTTTGGCTCCAATTTGTGGGAGAAGGCTTTCTGACAGCAAAGTATTCTTTTAATCTAGCTAAAAAAAAGGTTGTTATCTAGCTTCAGCTTGTGGATTTGATTATTTCACACTTAAATATAAGGTTCAAATTTTTAACCATAAGGGTACTTTAATCATTGGAGATGCTTACCCAGGAATATGGGATATTGTCCATTAGTTGAAGTCCATACATCCACTCTCAATTTGGGTGTAAACGATCCACTTTCAGTCAAAAAGTTTTTTGCCTTGGTGAAGAGAATTCCGGATTAGATTCTACTGCCTGATTTGTGCTGAAGGTCAAATTAAATGGCTGTCCCAGTCATTTCTGACTTAATACTTACTAATTTAAATCAACCCACATGCCACATGAGGCTTTTCAGTGGGTTTGTCATTTGCTACACAACACAAAGTGAAAATTCCCCAGACATGAAAATAAAACATGAGCTGATAACAGTATGTGCTAAACAATGTGGGGCCAAATTCTCAGCCAGCATAAATCTGCATAGCTGATGGAGACCTATCATTTGTGGCCATGCAGTTCTATGCCAGCTGAGCATCTGGCTCGTTGTATTTTTAATGTGGACCTAAAGGAGATGAGAACAAACTCTATGAGCATTACGGGAAATTAATGCTTTTCAAATGGCACTTTGCTAGTCTCAGAGAATTACATCCCACAACTCTAAAGATGCTTTGCATTGGAATGAGAACATGGGAGTATGTTTAATGCGCTCTAACTTGTACACAGTACTGGTTCACAACTTGCATTGATTCACCAAAAGTTCCCAAACATCCCCGTGCATCCAGTCATGCTTTGGCATATTTTGTCAGAACAATGATGTATTAGACTAGAGGATAGTAATACTTAATGTAAAACACTTAACGTAAAACCTAACCTACACTTACCAAATAAATAGGAAACGTAAATCCAGGTTCAGGAAAGCACATAAGTACTTGCTTAAGTCAAAAACACACAAGGCCCATGAAGTCAGGCTGTACTTTCTGAACAGTGATGTGTTCTTGACTCAGGTTTGTTAACTTGCTACTTCATAAGTTAATTAATTAATTAATTAATAATTTGCCATGAGTTATTATCAGATTTTGTTGCTACATACATTTCCATCCATTTCCTTTAAAATGAGGAGTTAATTAAACAACTTTACCTGACAATATAGGTAGTGTAACTATAGATCAGTCAGAAAGAGTATCATCTTTTAAATGGAGGGGAAATACCTCCACGTGCACACATTCTGTTGTGATTTGGGAATAACACTGACTGAAGATAGGATCATCTTATTTTCTGGTTTCAAATATTGTTTTTAATATCCAGAATGCAAAGGTGTTGACTTTGAGTGAAAAGATGGGCTACTGTTTTAAATGTTTCTAAGTTCTGACTACTCTGGCTGTGAAATACATTAGTAGGGTACATCAGGGCGTATTGTGGATGAAAGCAACTCATCCTTTCCCACCAGAAGCAGAGAGAGAGGGACTTTTAAAAACTTGTATACTGAAGGTTTAAAGAAGAGATAGTGAATGTGCAAAGGTATGTGGCCCTCCCAGGGGTTGAGCATTAAACCCTTGTTAGTGACAAAAAAAATCTATGTCACTGAAAATTGAAATCCCCTCCCCCATACTCCTCATGGGGTTACACATGTAGGAGCACCTCTTCCACCTTGCAGAGTGCTCCCTCAATGGCCCACAACAACACAAATTGGCCCACCTTTTTGTTGCAAGACGGAGTGTCCAGATTCAAATGTGATGTGCACCCAGACCAAGAAGCAGGAAAGTTGGAGGGCATCATTGGAGCTGTTTTTTTCCATAGTCAAAACATGCATGAAAGCTAAAAGATGGCATTTTTTCTAATGGGAGTTGGTGATCTTGAAGCTAATTAAGGGTGCCTTTAATCTAAAAAGGCTGAGAACCACTGGACTAGGCATTATTGGAGTACACTTCTCCAAGACTGTTTCACCCAACATCCTGACCCAATATGATACTAAATGCCTTTCCTCCCAGTACATTCAAATTCTTAGCTGCTTCACATTTACTATTTTTTGGGTGGAAACATCTATAACAATCTTTCACAGCCATCACCCAGAAAGGCATCCTCAACAAAATTTAAATTAATTCTATTTTAGTAACCATGTTCCTTTCACTCTAATCCTAGGTGTAGGGTGCCATGTGAAGCCAGCCTCCTGCTACCTTCTTATGCAAACATTTGAGATTGTAATATCTAAGGCTTTCAGTTTTCATGAACAGATGGAACATGTCACAAGGGGCTGAGACTGTGGGATGTACCACTCTAAACATTGAGTTAAGACAGTCATATTCAATAATTATATTCCTAACATTCTCAGAGAAGAGTAAATCTCTCCAATGACTGTATAGAAAGAATTGCCAGTGGGGGAAGAGAGAACTTGGTTCTCAAAACAAATTCCTGAGAAACAAGGAAGGAGGCTTTTATTAAGGATAGTTACCAAAGGATATGTCTAAGGAGACCTAGCAAACCACCACACTTTAGCTTCTTTTAGTTAGAAAGCTCTGGAAGACCATTCTGATTAATTGCCTCTTTTTGTAATGGCAGAAGTAACCTTTAGTGTGGATGCTATGTCTGTGATTTAGGTAACTTTTTCAATAGCATTAATATTTTGGATGCAAATAGGGAGAAATAAATTAGATCTACAGCTTTTGGTGCACAGGAGGTTAAGTTTGCAACAGAACAGAAATAAAAGTAACAGCTTAGGCTACATGGTGTGTGGCACCTGAAGCATTAAATTAGATTGCAGGACTAATTAATGCTTGTCATCGTCTTTGTAGAACATGCATTCTCCTACTCAGTAAATAACAGCCAAACATCCATGGTTACACCTAGAACTCAGCTGCAGTCCATTAACTTGAATTAGGTAACAGTTTGCGGTTGCAATTTCAGATCTGTGGAGATGCACAGGTGTCACCAAGGTTGGGCTTTGCCTCACTAGTTCCATTACCTTCATCAGCCTCCTCTTACAAATGCAAAATGGTAAATGTACTTTGGGTATAAGCCCCACTGAGGGGGAGTGCAAGAAATTGTACTGACTGATACAAGGGAATATAACTAGGAGTGATGGGATGAAAATGGAGAAAGGAAAAGAAAGTGTTGGGGGTGGGAAGGAGTTTTGGGGGGCAGAGCGGTAGAAAATGCTTGATAAATGTCTATTAGAATGTAGCTGTCTCCTTACCTGGAATGAACAAAAGCAATCTATACAGTTAGCATCTATTCACTTCTGTTCAGGCCTGTGTGCCACGCTCCCCACTTCAACAGCAAGGCAACATCTGGTAGTACTGTAAGCACCATGACTAATGGATGTCTCCTTATGGCTTCATTCTTCTCTCATTCTTTCCCCAGGACTGCAAATTTGGGCCTCTGAGTCCAGTGCTTAGGTTTCCGGCCATTTTCATAGAGAGAACAGGTGAGATAACTCAGCCATCACTTTTTATGACAAACTGGAGATTGCATTGTTTTACACAAATTTTGCAAGGCTGTTGTAGCTCAGGCACAAAATCAGTTCACCCAGTGTTTCACCATGGCAATGCTGATCATAATGAAAAAAATAATGACACTTTACTCAACCCGCCAAAAAATATTGTGCGTCAAGGGCAGTTAACAGTAGGGCACAAGCCTTGGGTACTGATTAAGGGTTGATGGGGGAGGGCAATGGAATAAAAAAAGCTATGCTGCTAATCCAGCAGCTACAAACTTAGGCTGTGTGGAGAGGGGCTGGGAACTGGGCAATGATGTCAAGGAGGCTCTTGGGTGCTGTGCAGGAAAGGAGGAGGGAGTGAAGACAGGGTGATGCCCTCCTGCTGCTAAATTAAGGGTTTTATTTCTTCACTCAAAATAGCATTTGGCAGCATTTTGTGGGGAAAAGATGACAAGTTTAAATCCTTAGCTGGGATGCACTTTCCCCTAGAGCTGTCAGGACACTACCGCTGCCCTGGCTCCACCCTGGTCTCCTTGTCCTGTTTCTGGAGCTGGAGTCATACAGCTATCAGGACCTCAGGGCAACCTGCTGTATCCCCCTGAGTCCTAGACTCCACAAGGAGCTGCAGGTATGTTTTCCACCCCCTCTCCTTCACAGCTTTACCCAGGGTGACAAAGGAGGTTGCTATGCCTCCGGCAGTCAGAGCTTTGCAGAGGCTACAGAAGCCGTGTGAATATTGTGCTGAAACATCAACTGAATCAGAGCAACAATTTTTTTAATGCATCTCTTAATAATAAACAGCCAGCTTTCCTGCATGAAAGAAAACACTGTAGGCTATATGCCTTGAGAAAAGCAGTGCTTATAGAATAGTACTTATGACACTTTCTGCCATCGAACTAAGTACAGAAGGAACAAGCATAAATATTCTGCATAGAGAGCTGAATGAGATCTATAGGCTGAAGCAATGTATTGCCTCATAGATTCATAGATGTTAGGGTTGGAAGGGACCTCAATAGATCATCGAGTCCGACCCCCTGCATAGGCAGGAATGAGTGCTGGGTTTAGATGACCCCAGCTAGATGCTTATCTAAGCTCCTCTTGAAGACCCCCAGGGTAGGGGAGAGCACCACCTCTCTTGGGAGCCCGTTCCAGACCTTGGCCACTCTAACTGTGAAGAACTTCTTCCTAATGCCCAGTCTAAATCTGCTCTCTGCTAGCTTGTGGCCATTATTTCTTGTAACCCCCGGGGGCACATGGAGGCACTAGCTTACATATAAATACATAAAAAGAAGTTAAAATGAGGGTGCACCTTCTGTTGGCTAGGGAACTATAGAAGGCATTAGAAAAAAGAAGTTTTTAAAGACATTTTTGCACAGTAATGAAAGAGAACATGTGACCTTGGCAAAAAAAAGAAGTCGGGGGGGGCGGGAGGGGGAGACTGCTAGGTCCTGAGGCCAGCATGGCAGCTCTAGCAGCAGTTTGTGCCAGGACCATTAGGCCCTGTGAATCTACACTGTGTCTTCTCCCAAGGAGGTCATGGAGAGATTTGGTGGAAGAGCAGCCTTCCTGTGAGCTCTGGGAATCTGGTTTAGATGTATACTGTGATGCCATCTGGTTGCTCTCCTGCTGGCTGTTTAGTGGCCTCTACTGATGCTCCCTTCCTATATAGCGGATTGCTCCCTAACAAACCTCATCAAAATGATTTAAATAGTGGAACAGACAATGCTGTGCTGTGTGTCACCATTGCCTTCAACACTATTCTGGGTGTTGGAGCTCTCCCCTTGCCCCGTGTCACCCATGACCATTCAGAAGTTAAGGTCTTTGGAGCACCTCTCCTAGTGAGCCTAGTATAGTGGACTTAACATTAATAATCAATAAGCTCTGCCACAGTGAAAAAGTTTCAGAGGACTGAAGCAAAGATAACACTGTGCCAATACTTTAAAAGGGTAAATGGAACCACCCAGGTAGTTATAGGCCTGTCAACCTGACATTGATCCTGAATAAGATAATGGAATGGTTGATACTGAAGTCAATAAAGAAATGAAGGAGAATGATATAATTAATCTACTTGACATGGTTTTATAGAAAATGGGTTACTTTTAAAAATAACTTGATTTTTTTTGAGGAAATTACTAGATTGGTTGATTCAGGGGAACAGCGTTGATGTCATAGACTTCTGTAATGCATCGGGATTTATTAGTACAGAAGTATTGTATGCAAGTCAGGGGAAAGTGATTTTTCTGTTCTTCTCTGCACTGGGGAGGCCTCACCAGGGGCTGTGTCCAGTTTTGTACACTGCAGTACAAGAAAGACATGCACAAATTGGAAAGAATCTAGATGAGAACAACAGAAATGATGAGAAGCCTAAGAAAAATATGGTGTATTAGGAAAGGCTGGGAGAACTGATATTATTTAGTCTGGTGAAGGGAAGACTTGATAGGAGATGGGGATTTGATAATAGTCTTTGAATATAAAAGGGGTCTTTCACTACATAAACTTGCTGGTCAATTGTTGATGTCCACAACTGACAGGACAAATAATGGGCTGAATTTGCAAAAAAAAAGGATGATTTATACTGGATAGTAGTGTGTTAACCCTGCAGCCCCCAAACTGGTACAAGAAGTGGGGGGGAGTTCCCACTTATATACAGAATATCATTGGGGTAGGGTCACAAGCCAACGAGAGAGGACAAGTAAAAAAATATCAACACTGCGGTAACATGTACTCAGCACCTTAATTTCCTCTCCCACACCTCTGGACTGTCCCCAGCTAAGCATTTAGTCCCTAGAGTATTCAAACAGCACCCTGCAGCTGCCTCCAAGTCTGAGTCTAGCTCCTTCAGTGCCCAGTCCTGGCTGGCTGAGCCTGTGAGATCTCCAGCTCCACTGCACACTCCTCTGTCGAAGGCTGACCAGATTCCGTGTGCACACTGCTCTCTCTTTATCTTACTCCAGCCTCAAGCCCCCTCTTCTTTTTTTCCCTTGCCTCCAAGGTCCTGGGGGTTTCTGAGAGTTGCAGTCTAAATTAACTGTCAGCACAGCTCTGCAAACTGCCCATCTGGTTTCTCCTGCTATTACACACATTACATTCACATTACTGTTGAAAGAAATATTTAACTATCCTCAAAGTTAGAAAATTGGAATAGGTTGCCAAGAGATGTGGAATTAGTATCACTTATGGGGGGAGAAGTCTTATATAATGACAGGAACAGGTTAGTGACACAGAGTAATCTGGATCATTTGGTAAACAGGGCACGATGTGGAAAAATCCAACAACTGGGGTCTAGGAACAAAATATTCATGCTAAGTGTACAAGATGGGGGATTCTCTCCCGGGAAGCAGTGACTCTGAAGAAGACTTTGAGTTTGTGATAGAACATCAACTGAACATGAGCCGTGTGTGACACTGTGGCTGGAAGAGCTAATATAAACTTTGCACGTATCAACTGGGAGATAATATTACCACTGTAACTGGCACCAGTGTGGCCATTACTGGAGTGCTGTGTCCACTAATGCAATTCACAGTTCAGGAAGTTTAAGGAAAAACTGGAGAAAAGCAATAAGAATGATTAAGGGACTGGAAAACCTCCCTTGTAGTAAGAGACTCAAGGAGTTCACTCTGTTTAGTTTATTAAAAAAAAAATGTGACTTGAGCACAGTCTGTAAGTATCTACACAAAAAAACCTAAAATCTGTTCACTCCAGCCAACAAGAAATTATATCCACAGCCCAACGGTTGGAAATAGAAGTTTAACAAATTTACACCAAAATTACTTTTTATATACATTTTAAACAGTAAGGTTAAGTGACAACTGGAATTTGTTATTAAGGGAAGTGGTAGATTCTCCATCCCTGCCACCTGTTAAATCAAGAGTGGATTTTTTTTTCTAAGAGTCCTGGTCTATTCAGAAAGAAATTAATTTAATAAAGTGACATGTTCTGGTCTATATAGCAAGTTAGACTAGACTAGGCACAATGGTTCCTTCTAGCTTCATAATCTATGAATAGGATTTCACTTTTGATTGGTCTCTTGGTACCAGTGTAAAGGATAATACTATTGTATTTTCTCAACTATGAGAGTTTTTCCCTGCATTCAGCATGGGGGGGGAAAATTGTCATCTTAGAATCAAGTATGGTTCAGGGAAGCAGATGCTGCAGCTCTGGGCAGGGCAAGGTGGCTTATGGCAGGTAGGAGGGGTGTGGGAAAGCATGGGGAAGTGGGGCTTGATGTGGGGGAGGAGCATGAGGGAAAAGGTGGCAGGGGGATTGTGGGGGAAGGGATGTGCAGAGCAAGGGGACTGTGGGGAAAGGGCACAGAGAAGGGAACTGTGGAGTAGGGGGGAACATAGGGAAGGGGTGCATGGTGAGGGAGAGCATGGGGGAAGGGTTGGCAGGACAAGCACTGGTAAAGGGATGCTTGGAGTGAGGGGACCATGGGAAAAGGAACATATGCAGCAAGGGGAGGTTGATTGGTTGGTTTCAAGGCTGAGTATGGCTCTCTGTTCCACAGAACTGAGATTGTAACATAGGTGGTGGTGTTTTTTGGCAAGGTCTGAATGGACATGGAGGAAGAAACAATTTATGTACAGGTCCAAATGGGGCTGCAGGCCTCAGGTGGTAGCTAGGAGGTTACTTCCCTCTTATGCCATTGTAGGGGTCAGGACTGTGGTGGGTTGATCATTACATGATACTTTGTCATGGATATAGTCTCTTCGTTGAAGGCAACGGAAAAATGCCTTGAGGTCTCCATATAGGTGCCCTTCATTGATCTGTGGAGTCGAGCAAAAGGAAAGACCATGGGATAGTAAGACATTTCAGAGGGGCTGAGAGCATGGCTGGATAGGTTGATGATATTGCTGAAGATTAAGGGTTGTTATCAGAGTAAGTTTGGAAAGTTTTGCTTCCTTCCTCTTTAAGGAGCAGAACTGTTTGTGATAGGCCTGAGGGCTGAATGCAGAGATGTCCTCCTGTTTAACAGGTGTTATATTTGAGTTGTTCCCTATGCTGTTCATCTTTGTGACTCTGATGCTAATTTGTTACTGTTTGCTTTATAGAAAAGTGATGAGGTGTTTCCTCAATTTCTCTGAGACAGAGGCACAGCTTGTCAGAATAGACTGTATGCTATGTAGAATGGAGTGGATTGGTCAACTGAATTCCCTTAGATATGTTGTTCATCTGCTTGCATCTGGTTAGAAAAAAAGATATCTGAGCATAGATTCATAGATTCATAGATGCTAGGGTTGGAAGGGACCTCAGTAGATCATTGAGTCTGACCCCCTGCATAGGCAGGAAAGAGGGCTGGGTTTAGATGACCCCAGCTAGCTGCCTACCTAACCTCCTCTTGAAGACCCCCAGGGTAGGGGAGAGCACCACCTCCCTTGGGAGCCCATTCCAGACCCTGGCCACTCTAACTTTGAACAAGTTCTTCCTAATGTCTAGTCTAAATCTGCTGTCTGCTAGCTTGTGGCCATTATTTCTTGTAACCCCGGGGGCGCCTTGCTGAATAAAACCTCACCAATTCCCTTCTGTGCCCCCGTGATGACCTAATAGCCAGCCACAAGGTCGCCTCTCAACCTTCTCTTGCAGAGGCTGAAGAGGTCCAGATGCCCCAGTTTCTCCTCATAGGGCTTG